TGAAAATTCCCATAAAATTGAATTCCATGAAAATTGAAATTCCATGAACATTTTATGAGTGGAAGGCAGTGTTCTTAGACTTATTTAATTTTTTTGAATCCCAAAGGTAAACTCCCAAAGAAATATCTCCCACTGTGTTTCCTTGTCATGATGCTCCTATTACTACTAAGAGTAGTGAGAAACGGTTGGAGGATTTTGAAAGGCCATCAGTTGCATTGGTCTATTGTTATAGCTGACCCCAAGCTCACTAGTGGCGTTCTTTCAGTGGCTTGCCACATTCACAGAGAACATCATACTAGGATATTCAAGCGTCTGAAATCATGCGTTATTCTTGGCTTTGCACTTTGGCTTCCTGTGAAAAGGACACCCCAAAATTTCTGGTTCATAACAACTACCTGATAGCAAAGTAGCTTGGGTTTATTGCTGGAGACAGGAGGAGCAGCAGGAACGATCAGAGTGATTGTTGATTGGTCAGTTGGAATTCTTCAACCTTTTACCATTCTGTGTGAAAGGCTCCTGTGTCTGTCCCATGAAATAGCACATTAATGATTGGTGACAACAAATAAATGTCCTGAAATAAACCAGGCATAATCCAGGATAGTTTTTTTTTTCTTTTTTCATAGGCCAAAAATCTACCAATATTCCTGTAATCTATCTTCTAAAACCAAAGTTCACAGCCTAATGCTTCCAAGATGCATGTACCATTCCAAAGCTCTGTTTGTAGTTCTTTGAGTGTCTCCAGTTTGTACTGGATTAATTTTTAATGTGGCATAAGGGGAAGATGATTACACACATGGGGAATAATTATAGTATTATCCATAATTAATTTAATTATTTTATTTAACTGTTGTCTTTACTCTACCCATCTTTTGGAGTGTGGCTCTTCCATGCCATGCAAAGGCTTTTGATCTCTTATTTTTACTCCTTGCCTCAAAAAGTCATTCCCTAATATTTATAAATTGCCCAAAAGCAAATTAGTTAAAACAACTTTTATCAAAAAGATATCAAACACTATATTAAAATATAGACCATTTGCAGAAGCTCAAATCTCTTTTTCATTCACTCATTCTGTCGTACACACAAATCTCTGGCAGGAGCAGGACGGGGGTAGTGCATCCATCCTTGCTTTTCTTGACCTCTCAGTGGCTTTCGATACCATTGACCATGGTATCCTTTTGGGTTGACTTGGGGAGTTGGGAGTGGATGGCACAGTTTTGTGCTGGTTCTCTTCCTTCTTCCAAGGCTGATCCCAATTGTTGTTGATTGGGGGCGAGAGGTCCAGCTCGTGGCCCCTCCTTTGTGGGGTGCCCCAGGGTTCGGTACTCTCTTCGCTCCTTTTTAACATCTACATGAAACCACAGGGTGAGATCATCCGTCACCATGGGATAAGGTATCATCAATATGCTGATGATACCCAGTTATACATCTCCATCCCAGGTGA